TGATAATCACCTCAATGCTTGTGGTGTTTGCTTGCAAGAAGACACTAATGTTGGTGTGTCTGCTTTCCTACTGGATTCAAAGGATCTTCCACAGGCAGTGTTAATAGTACTTCTCTGACTTGAGGTGTCTTCCATACATTGTCCACATCTCAGTTCCGTACAGTGAGGTGGGGATCACAACTGATTGATAAACCATGAGTGTGGCTTCAGATCTGATGTTGTGATCATCGAACACCTGTTTCCTCAGGTGTCCGAAGGCTGCACTTGCACATCTGAGGTGCTGTTGGATTTCTTCATCAATGTCAATCTTCTGTGAGAGATGGCTTCTGAGGTATGGGCAATACTCAATGTTCTCCAGGTATGGGCAATACTAAATGTCTCAATGTGAATCTGAATTACTGGAATCAGGGATTGCTTATTAGGAGTTTGTTGATGGAGGACCTTAGTCTTCTGACTGATAAGCATCAATCACATTTTCTTACATGCCTCAATAAAGATGTCAACAATTGAATGAAATTTTGCTTCTGAATGAGCACAGATTATAGCATCATTAGTGTACTGGAGCTTGATGACTGAATTTAGGATGATCTTGGTTTTGACTTGGAGTCTGCTGAGATTAAACAGCTTACCATCCATTCAGTAGTTTAGCTCCACTTTGACTGGAAGCTTGTTGATGGTCCATCACGCTAAGGAATATCAAGAAGAGTGTCGGAGTGATGGCACAGCTGGCTCAACTCCCATCTTAACCTCAAAGGGATCTGTGATAGATACATTACTGAGAACCGCCGCTTGCTTACCACAAGGGAGCTGGCAAAGAATGGTGACAAATTATGGTGGGCAGCCATACTTCAGAAGGATCCTCTACAGTGCTTCTCATGAGGTCAAAGAAGTCCATGTAGAAAGGTTCATGTTATTCTTCGCATTTTTTGTGCAACTGATGATCTGTGAAGATCATGTCAGCTGTGTCTCTTGATGCCCTAAACCCACACTGAGATTCAAGGAGAAGCTCTTCAGCAAGTGGAAGGATATGGTTCAGGAGGATCTCTCAATGATCTTTCCTGTGGTGATTCCCTCTGTAATATCCACAGTCAGATTTGTCTCTTTTCTTGAAGATTGTCACAATCATGGCAACCCTGAGGTTATCTGGGATTTCCTCATATTCCAAATCCTTAAGATGAGGACACGGAGCTGTGATATGAGCTCCTCTTCTTCCTGCTTGAAGATTTTGGTGGGGATTCCATCAGCTCCAGATGCCTTGTCATTCTTCATCTGCTTGATGGCTTTCCTCACCTTGTCAAGGGTTGGAGGGATTCCAAGATCATCTCTGACTAGTGTTGTGGGATGGAGTTGAGAACACTCTTGTCAACAATAGTGTCTCAACTGAGAAGGTCTTCAAAATGCTGCTTCCAACAAACGTTGATGGCTCCCCTTTCCTTGATCTGGTGTCCTCCATTCTTAGGTCTCAAGGGGGTTGGTCCCTGACTTCTTGGACCATAGATGGCTTTCATGGCATTGAATAAACTGCATATATCATGGATGTCAGCAAGATGTTGAGGGAACTGAGAGAGGCTGAGGGAAGTAGGTTTATTTAGTTTGCAGAAGAGAAGACTGAGAGAGGATTTGATAACAGGCTTTAACTACCAAAGAGGATGGAGCGAGACTGTTCTCAGTGATGACAGATGACAGAACAAGGAGCAAGTTGCATCAAGGGAGTTTTAGATTGAATATTAGGAAAGACTTTCTCAGTAGGAGGGTGGTGAAGCACTGGAACAGGTAACTTAAAGAGATGGTAGAATCTCCATCCTTGGAGGTTTTTAAGGCCCAGCTCAACAAAGCCCTGGCTGAAATTATATGGTTGGGGATGGTCCTGCTTTGAGCAGGAGGTTGGACTAGATGACCTCCTGAGGCCCCTTCCAACCCTGACTTGCTATGATTCTATGTTGAAACACCTTTACCTTGTCTTCCCACCGTCTTCTCTGTAGTAAGTGAAAGATAAAAGGGGGCAGATCAATCCTCAATGAATCAAAGCTAGATTGCTCAGGTGTAATATTCACTTACCACAGGGCAGACTGAGAGTTACCACACATCAAAGTAAATCAGCACCATCTACAGGACCTACCCAAATCCAAGATGACTTTGATTTTAAGACAACCCCCACTAATTCAATTATAGATGTAAATTATAATGTATTTATAATTTTCCATGTCTGGAATCTAATTAGTAGAAGGTCATTTTAAATGTATCCCCCTCCCTGCAGCTGCTATGAAGGGGAAAACAACAGCAGGGGCAACAGGTCAGACCCCTGCCCCTACCCCAGCTCCTGTGTCAGTGACTGCCCTATCAGTCCTTGTCCCCTACTCCCTGGTCCTCTCTGCAACCAGCTCCCCTACCCCCTACCCTTTGCTCCCTCATGCCTGTGCCTGACCTCTACCACCTGTCCTCTTTGCCTGCCCCTCCCCTCTTACCTTCTGGTGCAGCTCTGCTCTGGCTCTGGAGCAGTCAGCAGCAGTAGAGGCCCTGGCCTGGTCACATCCCAGCCTGGCCAGGGAAAAGGGGTGGCACCTTCTGGCTGGGATGTGTCAGGGCTGGAGGAACCAGCATGGAAGCAGAAGGTAGCGGGGGGTGGGGGAGATGGGAGGGGGAAGAAGGGCCAGGCTGTGTAGTTTCCCCTGAGCTCTCAAGCTGAACACACAAGTCTTTCCCATTCCTCGTCATGCCCCGTAGTCTCCTCTGCACTCTCTTCCCCATCAAACATCCTGAGCCCTGGGCCAAAGTCAGAGCTGAGCGATCACCTGTCAGTGGCTTGTACTCCTATCCAAGATGAGGCTTTTTTCCCACATGCTGACTGGGGGCAAAACATATCATATTGGGTTTGAATAAATACAGCAATATATTACTGCTATTTGATCCTTTGCCCATACCCTAAGTAAACTTTGGTAATAACAGAAATTGGTTTTAGAACTGGAATTAAAATGCTAGAGTTTCTGGCTCCTTTTTCTTGTTCATTCTTTGCTCTCTCTAAGTTTGCATGTGTGTTCTGGTCAGTTCTTAGGATTTATTTTAGTACAGTTACTACTGACCTGCTGTCAGATCAACTGAACCCCTTACCTAAGTGAAGCTGTATAATTATCACTGACCTGGAAACTCAGAATGATCAAAAATAAATCAATCAAATAGTAAGATTTGTTTTTCCAGCATAAGTATATTTCTCTTTATCTTCAGAATGATAATGAAAAATAATGGTATGTTAGACAAAAAATGTAACTGGAATATAATTAAAAAATATTTAAAGTCCTTTAAAATGCTAATTTTAAAAAATAATTTCATGAAGATTATGAAATCCGGTCCTATTTTATAGTGCAAAGCACATTTTCAATTGATTTCTTTTTTGTTTTATTTATTTGTGTTTAGTGGATGCTGGCATTAAACCAAAATTCACTACAAATAGATGCATCAACTCATATCCAGTAATGGTCAGATAATAAATGTGGGGAAAATCAATACTCATCATCATTATAAGCAGGCTGCCAGTGTTACAAGGTATTATTGGTTCCCCTGCACGTCTCCTCAAAAGACCTTTATGGTTGTTTATACTTTTGCCAAACTATAACTTTTGGGGGTGACATTTTCAATGCCTAGTATCTATCTTAGGTTCATTTTCTGTCCATGGAAAATTTCAGCAAAAGTGCTTGAGCCATGTATGAGAATGATGCTCAGTAAAATATGTTGCATTCCCCATACTAAAATTTCTTTACTTTGTCTTTGAATGGCTCTGCTGTTCCCAGCAGGACCTTAGCATTTAGCAAGGGTGTGGCCCTTGTATCAGGAATGTCATCCATGTGAAAACAGATCCAAATTTGGCCAAATTAATACTCTTTGAAAAACTGCAGTTCACACATCATTAGTAGAGATTTTATGCATTTCTGAGCACTGTTCTCAATACATGTGCTTGAGGCATACTCTTAGCCTGGTATCACTGCTGTGGCATGCCTGGGAAGCATGTCCGCTGACAAGCATACCTCCCTCTACCCACCCCTGCTGGCATGGATTCTACATGTTACAGGACTGCACAGACATATTCTTCACAGAGGATATGTCTGCACATGCAATCAATGTGCCTGAATTTTCTGTGCAGAAAACTCTGGCACATTAAATTGTTCCCAGGCATGCATCTAAATGTATACCCATTGGGAGCATCCAAATAACTAATAAACACATTAAACAGCAGCAGGCTTAGGACAGATCTCTGTGGGACTCCACTTGAAACCTCCTGTCATTCTGACATAGACCCATTAATAGTTATCTTTTTCTTGTTGCTATTGAGCCATTAGTAGATTCAGAATTTGTACTCCATTACACTACTATAAATCCAGAGTGTAGCAATATCTGGTTTAAGCGACTAAAATTAGAGTGCAAATATATCTTTTGATGATATATGTATTGATTAGTGTACTGGCACACAGAGAACTAGGACCATTTTATTAGAAATAGTAAGACAAACATATATAAAGAACAAGTACAAAAATAATCATAATCATAATTACTAATGGGTGAACTTCAAAAGATTGTTGCACTGGAAAAATATCCTCTTGCTTTAGCATAATTTTGGCCCTCTCAGTATAGTTTCCAAAAAGCCACTCTCCATATCACCAAGCCTGTTGTTCAAACTGGCACCCCAAATACGCATAACAGAAGCCAGAGTGACTAAGAACTTGGTAAAAGAAAAATCTGAACTACTTTACTCTATAAAAAGACAATGCCTTCTTGCTTAAGACTGATTGATAATGTAAGGAAAAAAAATAGCACAAGACTGGGTGTTTCCAGTTTGATCAGAAACAGGAAGAAGTGAAGATTTCATTAAACCTCTTCTAGCATGGTCATCAAAAAACCCCAAACAAACAGTGAAAAACTGAGCAATGACCCTGCCCTGCCTTCTGCCTAATGAATCCTATTATTATGCTAGAGATAGTAGTAGGAATAAAAAATAATGTGATCTTTACCTTGAAAGCCATCTTTAAACCTGGATCCATTTGGTAAGAATTCTGGAGTGTATTCACTGTAGCCCCCTACATAAAATTGACTGAAGACATTGAGTCCAACCAATCTCCCTGGAGAAGTGACAGTTTTATTCTTCTGATCATCTACCTTTTAATGAAAATACTTACATTACTTACAGCAAAGGAAATGACTCCCAACAGAAACTTCACATTACTCAACCATTCCAACCTTGGAATCAGAACCCTGTTCACAAACAACTGGCATCTCTTTTGCTTCCTGGATATCTTAATGGAGATACATAAGAACAGTGTAATTTTTTAAAACCTTTTTTCCTGCAGATTCATAGCAGTTTATTTTGATGGTATGTCTATATGTACTAAAACTGCTTTTATTTCAATAGTTGTCCCTTACCTTCAACCAGCCTTTACGGAGAGATCTGCCCAGATGTATCACATGAACAGTGAGTGTCAGGTTGAGTGGTTTACTAATGATAGTGGCAGTGCCAGAACCCAGGTTGTAGCTGTATACTCAGCTGCCATTGCGCAAGCCTAGCACCAAGAAGTCATCTCCATTCAAACCTGAAAGAACAAGAACAGCCTGGCTATTTATCTCATTATTATAGTCCATTTGAGCCATAATCAGTACTGTAATCCATGGATTGCAATACTAGAAATTTTCATTATTCACAATTATTATCCTATCAATAGTCAACTATCTCTTAAACAAGATAATAGTGTACTTCAGGCCCAACCCCTCTCTGCCATTGGCAGAAATTGGCAATTGCAGTCTGTACTCAGTGGTGAAGCAGCATATAGCAGAGAGGGGTTTGGGGCTGAAAGACACCTCTACAGGTATAAGAACACCCTGGGAGTGTATCTTAAAGGAACATCTGACTGAATCTGTGGCCAGGTGTGTCATATTTATTCTGTTTTTATTGTGTTTCCCAACATTTTATTGTAAGCTCCTCAGAGAAGGTATTGTCTCTTCTTATTTGTTTATTCAGCCCAGTTTGGCACCCTGATCTAAGTTGGGATTTCTTGGGCTAGGGACAGATGTTCAAAAAGCCTGAGCCTGAATTTTGATTCAATCTTTGCAGGTTAGTTTAACCTGGCTAGGCTAAATTGGTTTTGTAACCAGACAGACATCCCAGAAATGCAAGCACATGCCTGCAGTGGCTCAGGCTAGAAGCTGGTGGGGGTGGGGGGCTTCACTTGAGAAGCCCTCCCTTCCCTTGTACAGAGCTGAGCAGAGGGGGGTGTGGCCAGGCCCCATGATTAGGGAGGGTTCCCCCCTGCCCCCTGAACAGCTCAGCAGGGAATGTTTATCACCGCTAACTCAGTGTCACCCCATTAAAAAAACAGAGAGACATTACCAGCTATCTGTTGATTCTGCCTTTGTCCCGTGTGCCACAGCTCGGAGGTAGCCAGCATGTGGTCTGCTAGTTAATGCTGAGAGGTGTCTGTGATGGCCGGGTGAATGCCTGCTTAGCAGAGGGGATGGGGGAGTAGAAGCCAGGCAGATGCCTGCAGTGACTGCTGAAGCTGCAGCCAGGGAGCAGAGGGGAAAGGCCAGCCCTGCTGTGGAGCAGAGAGACCCACCCAGCCCAGATTGCTGGGATGCTGGGGGAGTGTGATTTAATTTAAATCAGCAAGGGGTCTGGGATAGACATTGCATAACCCAATTTGAACCAAATTAGTTAAATCTGATACTACATTCAACCAGGTTTATCTCAAACCAGTTTCAGCCATTCTCAAACTGGTTTATGTGCACTGATCACTTGAACTGGTTTATGTATAATTTCTGTCCTTAGCCTTGGTGCTATTGCATCAGTTCTAAATTGGAAGAAGCAATAAAGGGTTTTTTCCACAATGCATAATGATTTACAGATTTTCACCTGTGCTTTCTGCAGTATCATTATTATGAATAGAGTGCTAAAGCTGAATTATGTGCCACTGTGGGATCTGTCAGGTCCTGATGAGGAATGTCTTACATTTGGAAGCTTGTCTAACCTTATCCCAACCATATAGTTGGTCCAATAAAAGACATGTCCCACAAAAATCCTTGCCTCTCTACCAGGAGACCACTCATTTCTAGCAGATAAGAATTTATTTTCATATATTTCTTGCCTACATTTTATTTTGTATTTAGTACTTATTGAAACTAGTAGTAAAAAGTATAATGCTGGCCGTAATGCTTTCAAAGGATTTAGAATCAATTTTCATCACGTTATACATGTGCATATGTACATTTCTCAGATAACTCAGAATGTGGCTTAATGAGAGCGTTTGAGATGATCATTGATTATGTGATGCACGCAATTTCTGTTTAATTTAATTTAGGAAGAGTCAGCCACTGTCTCACATGTAAGGCTATGGCTCAAACTTGTTCTTAATTATAGAAGTAAATTAATCCTACTCTTTCACATACTTGTAGTTCTTTACTGACTGTAAAAGTTCTTAACAAAGAAACAGCAAGATGTACAACATATAAATGTCAGTTTAAAGATGTAGAAAAGATCACATAGGTTACTTTTTACAAACACAAGTGAAATGTAATTACTACAATTAATAATTATCTTAAATTATTTAGAAATACACTATTTATACCAGGGGTGGCAAGCTTACACCATGAATGCCACAAGTGGTACAGGCAGCCTCTGTATGTGACACAGTAGACTGGGAAGAGGACAGGCAGCACAGTGGCAGGGAGCAGAACACAGAGGATTAGATCAGGGAGTACAGGACAGGAAGCAGAAAGCAAGCAGTAGATTGGGTAGAAGAAAGGGATGAGTGTGACACTTGGGGAGTGTGTGGAGCTAAGCTGTGGCATGCCTGCCAAAAAGCTGGCCCCCCACCAATATGAAGGATAAATTAGCATTAAGGTCAGATATTTATTGACATAAACCAATTCAGAATAATCATTAATATAAATTATGTTGCAACAATTGATAATAATTGTTCTTTTAGGGCTGCCTCTAGTCTTTTGTGAAATATAATTTAACTGTATAAATAAGAGAAGTTAATTTACAGATATCATTTAGAGCCATCTTTCTCCAACTGAAGTTTAGGAAAAATTCCCATAAACTTCAACAGAAACATAAATATGGTCATAAGATGCAATTATCTCCTGAAAAGTGATTCTACAAAAATGGCATGTTGCCATTAAGTAAATTGATACCAGAACCCAAGTCGCCTCCCTTCCTGCTGACAGCCCTAAGCCACTATGCACCTTGTTACATCATAATTTTAGGCATCTTCTGGAGCTCTTAACCCCTGGATTGGCTGCATGTTAACACCTTTTAAGTAGTTTACAGCACTCATCATTCATTTTAAAGTTACGTCACTCCAGGGCAGGATTATATCTAATCCACCTAATTTAGATCCAGTTCCATTAAGATGTGGCCACTTTCCAAGTTGAAGTCTTCCAGTATCCCAAGATGCAGTGGACCTTCCTGAGTCAGGGTGAGCAAGGATGCTGGGGTGCAGTGGGGCTGGGCATGGTGCTTTGCCTCCCAGGCAGGTTGGGCAGAGCAAGTGCCACAGTCCCAGAATGCTTGGCAGCCATGGTGCTTCGCACTGCCACTTGGACAGGCTCACTGCTCCTCCTGGCAGTGGTGCAGGGGAGATGAGCTGCGGAGAAAAAAGGACTGGGCATTTTGGAGCTCAGGTGGCACCTCAGTAGCCTCTGGGCAGGAGTGGAGCAGGGCGGAGGGCTCTGGAGGAAAAAGGATTGGACCCTTAGAGCTTAAGCAGCAAGCTGGTCTAGGCAGCAGTGGGAGGCACCATGGCCACTGGGCACTCCAGGGCTGCAGAGATGGCTCTGCCAGGCAGGAGCAGCAAGCTGGTCCTGACCCTAGCTCCTAGTCCTACCCTAGCTCACTAAGCCTCTAGTGGCAAGTCACAGTTGTGTAGGCAAAACCAGAGATGGTTTTTCACCTTAAGGTGTGACTGCTCCACTAAGTTGAACAACACTAAATTGACTAACATTTGTTTTGCTTACAGCATAAGATGTATGTAACAAGGCCCTAAGGTATGGAATTAGGCTTCTTCTTTCTTGTTGTCTATCCTGATATCACGACTCTTGTATTCTTGACTAGTCAGTAGCCAAGGTTCTTTAACAGGAGGGATGGAAAGTGCTCCATTCCAATGATTCTACAGTTTGGTGTTAAGGGCATTCTTTTGGGATGCTGGGAAGCCCCTTGGGCTGAGGAAGCACTGTAATTTAGGTCTCCCATTTCCTGTCCCACTGCTGTAATCAATTCGGGAATGTTAAGGATGTGCACTAACACCACTCCTGTATCTTGGACTGAAAATGACTCTGAGAGCTGTATGTTGTCTTGGGCTAAAACAGACAACTGATTTAATGTGACTTGGAGTAGTCTGGGATATGACTCGTATTTAAACAGATGCGGCATAGTTGTTTAGACACAAGGCTTAAATGGCAATTAATTCAAATTAGCTGCAATGGTTTAGAGGCAAACTGTTAATTTGGATAATTCACAGGTACTTAATGTGGAACAGTGGGCTTGTCTGTCTGTAAGGTTTGGGGGGTTTTGCAAGATAAAATGCTTAAATTCAAATCAAGCCAGTCATCTGTTTTTAACCTAGAAGACAATGATGTGAGTTAGGTGTCCTCGTAAGGTATATCCAGCTACAAGTCCAGGTCCAAGGAGGAACAAGAGTTCAGGTGTAGGCCCATGTTAAGCATTTCCTATTAGCTAGCTCTTGGCAGTTTCCTGGTGATGAGTGTCTATATTAGTGGTTCTCAATATTTTTAGATTCTAGATACCTCTTATTAAATTCAAAGCATCTGTCAGAAAACTCTAGCTTTTATCTTTCACTTACTTTCTGACTTTCTTATGGAAAAACAACATTGCAAAATGTTGCAAAAACTTGGAAAGACCACAACAGGTCAGAATGTTTTCGCTACCATGAATTTCTAGCATCCCTGGGTGATACCCCCTGGTCTATGGGATAATGCTTTGGGTTACTCTTCTAAGTACCTAACTCTCCCCTTTGATTAGATAGCTATCTTAAGTACCTAATTCTTTTGATTTAGATCATCCTCCTGGGGCAAGGTATTTAATTTTCAGGTGCTATAATGTCTAAGTGAGAGAGTATAGGAGAATTCTTTAGATCTGACTGTTAGTAGTGCCTTTGCCTGCAAGACTAGGGTAAGGATAATTAAGACTTTTTTCTCTCCCCCCCAAAATGCTATTTTAAACATACAATCCTAGAGATTTTTATAAAGTTATGGCACTGATAATAACACAGGATAAGTAATTAACAGATTTCAGTCAGTTCACAATTTCATATAACTTGGAATCTTTTTAAAGCAGAAGATACTAAAAACTGTCAAAATTGATCAAAAGGCTTCCACTGACTTTAGTGAGAAGGGGCTAATTGTGTTAGGCAAGTCTCCATATCTCTAGTTCCAAAGCCAGCTCTATTAGTAGTTAATAGGCCATCAAGCAACAAAGAACTACTTCACATGCTTGCACATCAGATGAACTCTAGAAAAGTACCTGAAGAGACTCCCAGCTGTTTCTGGTGACTGAGGGGCACTTGAAAGGAGGACA